AAAGTCTTGGCTCTATTCTTGATAACATGAAATAAGCTTTGGGTCTACAAGGGATCTATTGATCAATAGCAGGTGAACCCAGTTCTTTTTGCATCATCTCAAGGACTGTGCAATTGATAGCCTTCTCACCTTTCTGACATACAACAGGCTTGGGCTGAAGTTCTGATTAGGATCCAGACCATGCTGTTACACACAGAAAGAAAGTGAAGCCAGGATCTTAGAGCATTTGCAAAAAATAAACACCACCGGCCAAGCCCACCCTGCAAAAAATCATAAGCAGCCTCATAAAGGCCCTTTACAGTCCCTGCTGGACATGATGTAAGTGTTGAATGGCCTGAGCAGCCTCTCCTCAGTCCTTGCCTGCTCTGGAAACTCCATGTGCAACCAGTCGGGCACACTCCCTCCCTCCCAAGGGTCTTCTGCTGGGAGGAAAGGGACAGTGCCGCTTTTCAAACTCTGGCATTGATACTTGCTATACATTCTTCAAAACCCACCTGGGCTACACTGCTACAGTTGTGTGCCATAGGTACGTTACAGTCACAAGAGAGGCATCAGGTGGAAAACAAGAGCCAGGGAGCGATAGGATTATGACTTTCTGGAGGGGACCCTTAAGGACATCAGCCACCTTCATTAAAATTATATTCATGTTCCTCTAAACAAACTAGGGTCAGACTGTTATTCATTATAGGACCCAACTGCCTTTGCATGTTGTGGACTGTATAGGAACAAGTAGCCGATACCTAAGAAACTTGTGCTCTGAAGAAGCAGTCTAAAAACATCAGGGGAAAAAAGTGGATACAGCTACTGTTACAAAGCATCTTAGGAAAGCTAAAGAAACTAAGCACATATCTATAGGCAGAACTTTTTTTTTGGTTTTTTTTGCTAAAATTCAACAGCATGATTCAAAACTGTAGGCAGATTGGGGTATTTTAAAATTCAGAAGAGCTGTCTAGAAATCTTTCTGGAACACTGATCCTTAAGGGAAGCGTGCGTGCCGTTAAAAGTTTTGTACATAGGTTGTACTGTAAGATATATGAAACTGCATTTCTCACTCACCTTTCAGAGATCCTTTGGAAGTTTTTCACAAAACCCCTCTCTCTCTCCACTTCATAGTCAGTAAGTTAAAAACAAGTGTTCTAAAAATAGTTTCTCTCCTGCTTAGGTCTTTTCCTTTTCTCCCCATAGTTTCCATAGGGGCTTTCTTAAAAGAGGAATACAACAGCACAATTTGATGCTGAAGGTTATAGTCTGTCCTATTAATTCATTTGACCACCTTAATTTACTTTATCTTACATAAACAAAACAAAAAACCTTATTTGAAGAGGAGGATACACTCTTAAACACACTAAGTGACAGACTGTATCTTTAATATTTTTTACCCTGAAGCTACCACCATCTGGAAGTATTTAGCACAGGAAAACAAAAAGCCCATCTAAGTTCACAAGACTTGTTGCCTGCAGTACTTGAGCAAGAAGATTAGTATCCCCATTCATTCATTTATTTATTCTACCCACACACAATGCTAAGTAATTTTAAAATCCAAACAGTTTGGAAAGCTCCTGCTGTTGCTTGTGGGCTAAAGCCCAAGCTGAGGTTATCATGTTTGCCTTGCAGCAACAAATGGCAATTTGCACTCCATAAAGCATTGTACACAGTTTGTAGCTGTGTTTGTAGATGGCTGTAGGACATCAGCTGTGGCAAGGAAAGTACAGACAGCTGAATCTCTAGTCTTAGCAAGCACAGAAAAAAATTGATTTCTACCCACTTGAAATTCAAATGCATTGTCAAAAAAAAAAAAAGTCCTGCCCAAATCCAAGAGCTTATGGGCTGGGTTTTTTTTTTTTTTTTTTTTCTTTTTAAATTGCTGCTGTGTTCTTCTCCAGTTGTCCTTATGAGTAGAGTGCACACAGCCCACAGCATGTGCCTCAGGAGTGAAGTTTGCTCAGGTCTTTTGAAAACAAGAAAACTATCCTGTTCCCAGAGCAGTCACCATGCAGACATACCTTACAGACATGAATGGCATGTTTCATTAAAATATCATTTTTGTGCAGCAGGGTTGCAGCCTCAGATTTTAGCTGCTTTTGTATTTCCCTTTTAATAACTCCAGCAGTATCTGTGGTTATTAACATCAGAGCTTTTTTAGCTCTAGTGAAGTGAAGTTACAAAAAACAGAGCTGAATGGTGGTTTTTTTCCTGTATGATTCCACTTGACTATGTTAAAGTCACAGCTCCCCCAATACTCTATTTTGCAGAATACTCAAAAAAGGACCTTAACAGCAAGGGCAATTTCAGCCCTCATCCCATACGTGGGTTCAGTGTCCTTTCAGTTTGATTGGGTTTGTATGTGAAGATGGGACACCATGCTTGATCTTACAAGGGGCCAAGCGCTGTGGACCCAATCTAACAAGTTACTTCAGCAGAGCATGTACATATGTAAGTGCTTTGAAGCCAGAGCACCTTCCAGGATTTAGCTGGTAGTCTATGGGAGAAACAGAAGTATCCTCAGAATGTTTTCTTTTCTCTGGTGGATATTTTGGATATTAAAGAACACAAGTCCATATCCTAATTCAGAAGTGAAGATACTTTTACAGAAGAGTGGTATCTCTGCCTTCCCTTTTTACATTGGGGCTATGTTGGAAAAGAACTATACAATTTACCTACCACAGCATGGTGTCCTTGCAAAAAAAGAAAAAAAGTACCTGTCTGATCAATATGTATTCTGTCAAGCAAATATTAGCTCTTCAAGCAGCAGCTACATTGGAAGCAGCTGCAGTTATCTCAGTTGCTTATGCCAGTCAGAGCAAAGTTTTTCTGTTTGCTTTTCTAATCCTTGTTCCTTGTACTTCAAGAGACAACAGGTTCAATCCAAAGCTTCTAGTCACACCAAAGCAACTCCACCAGCAGAATAACTGATTTATTTGGGCATCTAACTCCTAGTTTATTATTTTAAGACTTTTTGAAAACTGTCTTTGATGGTTAATCCTATCTGCTTTAGCACCTGGTAGAAGGGACTTCTCTCTGGCTTCAGCAGGCCAGTTTAAACAGGTTTATATGATGCTCTTTACCTGCAACTGACCTTCTCCTTGTATAACTTTTTTGGCTGGATCTGTGACTCAGCCTGTTAGACACCATAGCCTAATGTCAGTAAGTGCTGGAGGGATCAACACTTACACCTCAGCCACTATATTACAAACCAAAGAAAGTTGGCTGTCAGACATAAAATTGCTCCAGCCAAGAATCTGTAGTGCTTTTCTCTTCACATACCAAGTATCATACAAGACAGGAAGACAAACAGAAGAGCCAGTGAAGCAAAATATTAGCCCAGCTCTTAGACTGGCAAGAGAGCTTGAACATAGCAAGACTTCCCCTTGCTCCCCCCACCCCAAGGTTCCCACAGCTGTTCAACATTGCTGTGTGGTGCTCTTGCCAAACAGGTGTCTCTGCCTCCCTGAGGGCTGGTAACAAATGACTATTTGAGTTCAATTTGTGCAATGGAAACTGTTTCCATTACAAGCATAAGTGAAATCTATCCAAGCAACAGATTCTGGGATCCCAAAGCCCACATGTTTTCATAACCTATACTGACATAGCCTTAGCCTTTCCACAAAGTCAGTCAGGCCAATGATTTCTTTGTTCCTCAGCTCATGAAACACGAGTTGGCAAACACCACCTTCAATAAGGCAGGTACCCCTCTAAACCCCCTGGTTTAGAGGCTCAAACCCCAGTCTGCTTAGAGCTTTAAATTCAAGAGATTACTAGTGCAAGAGAACCACTGCAAAAAGCTTACACATACATTCCTTCCTCATGCATGATTTAAATACTGTCAACACTTCTTCCTTTGCAGTCTAGCAATTCCTACATTAATCATTCTGCAAATCAGTTTGGTACTGAACAGAATTGCATCATATTGTAACAATTCGACCATCCTAAGCTGAGGCTGCCAGAGGTTGATTAATTAACTGCACACTGTGACACATTTTTAAATGATCTGGTGTTTTAAGTTGATTACGCACAATCAGAACATTTACAGCTTTCCAATACATTCCTCACATATGAGAGGACCAGGAAAGCTAGCTTGAGCTATACTTCAGACTAAGCCCCATGTCAAGTGTTCCTTTAATACACATTCAGGAACCAAGTCTGCATATTCGATGAATCAGCATCTCGCTACATGACAGTTTTGACATTTTCTAGAGACATTGGTATACCTCCTAATCGCAAGGTACATCACATAGCTCTATCCATCCTTGGAAGAAGGCTCACTAAAGTCCTTCAGGGGAACTGACAAGCAGGTGCCTGTAGGGGATGGCTATGACTGTCCATCAACAGAGATCAGACTAGCAGGATTCAGTGGTAAGAACAGACTCTTGAACATTTGATTAAACTACACTTCAAGTCACACTATCTGCAATTAGGTTATGCTGACTAGCAATCAGTTTTGCTTATTTAAACACATGGTTATCTATATCACAGATACTCAGTGTTTTCTGTAACAGCTGACAGTAATTCATCCAGGTGTTTAAGGTTAACACTGCATTTGAACCCTGCTCTAGCAATGGTAGTCCACTTAATCTTGCAGCTCAGATACATAGCTTAATGAACCATTTATAGGTATGGTTTTGCTACTGTGTGACCTGACTTAAAGCTTTGTTATTCCATTCAAAAATTCAGAGTGGCTGTGCAAGCAATGCTTCATTTACGAGGCATTGAGCTCAAATTCCCAGAATTTTTCTAGGACCTTCTCCTAGACAAACTTTTACAGTCTTTCCCCACATTAAAACTAACATTCAACTCAATACTTAAAAGCTTCTTTATTTTACTCTTAGACTTAGGCTTTAAGGACACCTTAAAAATTAGTTACATAACAAAGATTGATATTGCAAAAAAGTGGAGGTGCAGTTCCAAAAAAAAAAAAAAAAGACCCATAGTGTCTTCAAATATAAAAATATATATCCTAATTATTATCTAGGAAAAGTGTACCACCATTTCTGCCTTAAGCTGGTCCTGCCAGCTTTTGGGTCATAACTCCCCGCTACAGAGCTCAAGAGCTCATATTGGAAGGAGCATCTCCGAGGTTCATGTCACAGGCATGATTCATATCAAGCTGCTTCACTGCAGCAGATGGACCCAACCTTAATTTTTTTGAAGGCATTCCATAGTTTTCCCTTGAGCAGTGGGTAAAAAGCATCCAAACATCTCCTGGGAAGCGTATGTCATATACACAAAGCCATCTTCGTCTTTGTAGTCCCTGTACACTTCTGCCATTGTCAAGGACATACTGGCTAGGCTTTTGTTGTTCACCAGCAGGTAGAAAGCTTGTGTAGCAGTTAGAGCCATCCTGCTTCTAATTGAAGAAGGGAGGAGAAATAGAGGGTTACTCATTAGCACATTTAAGAAGGTTTCAACTTCAGTCTATGAAATACATTCAGCAGAGCAGTTGCATGAACTATGTACAAGAAATGCTGTGTAAAGTCATTATGTGGTTTAACGTCCTCATCAGCAGGAAAAAAAGGCTTGTGCTCTGAGGAGAGGCTTACATTGTTAGACCATGAGTGCTACTGAGCTTGGGCTCGCTCTCTCTCAATTACCAGAGAGAAGTGCTGAGTAGAAACCAAAAGCTTCTGCAGTACATCTGTAGTAAAGGATTCCAGCATGGCCCATTACACTTATTTTAAGTTCTACCTTCAAAGAAGAGTCCTCCTCAGAGACATTACATATGAGGATCAGGACCTAAGTTGTCCAAGAGCATCACTTACAGAAGTTAACATCTAGAAAAATCTTTTCCATACTTTAAGAAGTGTGCTGGAAAGCACATAGCTTTTATGCTTTGTCAGAGAACATCACTAAATACTTTGGGAGACTTCTTCCCTGTAGCATTTTATAAAGAATAATTTAGAAGCACATTTCATGTCACTCACACCTACAAGTTGCTTTGAACTTGAGCAAAGTCAGCAAGGTGCAGTAAGTAAGAGAGCAAGGCAGTAACAGCCCTAAGCAGAACAGAACCACAGAGCCCCAGCACCAAGTTCACCAAGCAAGAAGAAAGCAGAACAGGACTCAGATATAATCTTTACTCACTACAGTTAGGGGAAAGAGAGAAGACTTTATGAATCCAAAAAACACAGACAGCATTTTTTAACTCAAATGTGCCTGAGAAAACATCTGTTGATTTTCTTTAAACACTTGCAAGACAGGGAAGCCGTTACTAATACCTTCATCCTCCTCCCCACTGAGGAAAGCAAGATGTCCCAGCGCAGCGCTGAGGTACCTGCCCAGAGAAGAGCAGCAAGCCCCAGCCACAGCACGGACCCGCAGGTGCTTGCTACCTACCTGATGATGGTTATGAACTGCGTCATGGTCAGCTCCTCGGGAACAAGAAACTTGGTTTTGTCCAAGAGAGGAAGGTATTTCTCTTTATGGTATCTCTCAACAATTACCTGTTTTAATTAGAGTCACACTTAGCAAAACCTGAAACATCCAGGTCCCTCCCACACACACACTTTAGAGAGGGGTTCCCAACATTTCTTTTTTAAATAGCAGCAATAGCCTCCGACAACAAAACAGAGATTTACCGGGATTTTTGTTGGGAACTTCGCCCGGATCCCTGCTACTTCTTCCAGCCGGGTGGCTGCGCGGGAGAGAGGAGAAGCGTTACGCGTGCGCGCAGCCCGC